GATGAGGGGTGGGAGAGGAGGTGAGATATGAGGGGTGGGAGAGGAGGCGAGAGATGAGGGGTGGGAGAGGAGGTGAGATATGAGGGGTGGGAGAGGAGGGGGGAGATGAGGGGTGGGAGAGGAGATGGGGAGATCAGGAGGGGGAGACGAGGTAAGGAGCAAGGCAGTACCAGGGCTTGGAGTAGAAGAGAGATGAAGGGGGGGAAACCCCTGAGAGAGAGATTGGGTGGAGAGAGGAAGTGGGGAGACATGGGGGTGAGGAGGGATGAGGATGGCCCAGGACGGGAGGACATGAAGTGAGACTGGCACGGGGGAGGCCGTAAGGTGGGAACGGGGCATAAGAGGTTAGAATCAGGAGAGGAGGTGGGGTTGTGGAGAGGGAAGAGGAGGGGCTGAGGACTGACTTGTCACACTTTCCTCCTTCCAGAAAAGGCTGGGCCCCCCATAAATGTGATGGTGAAGGAGGTGTGGGGCACGAACGCGCTGGTGGAGTGGCAGGCCCCCAAAGATGATGGGAACAGTGAGATCATGGGGTATTTGGTCCAGAAAGCAGACAAGAAGACCATGGTGAGAGAGCAGAGGGGGTGGCGGGGAAGACGGGGGAGGTGGTCAGAGCAGGTGCAGATGTCCCCATGTCACAGCTGGAAGGGCAGGGAGGGGCGCAGGGACTGGAGGAGAGGCCGGGCTTGGAGGGAAGCCTTTTAGCTGAGACTTGGTGCATGACGGTTTTTCATTTTCTTTTTTCACTGAGGTAAACGTCACATAATGGAATTAGCCATTCGCCACTCTAAAGAGAACAATTCTGCAGCACTTGGACATTTGCAGGGTTGTGGGTGGCCACTGCCTCTACCCCAGCCACTTTCATCCCCCAGAGAAGCCCTGTACCCATGAACGCCACCCCCTGACGTCCCCCAGCCCCTGGCAGCCACCAGTTTGCTTTCTGGTTCCATGGATTTACCGACTCCCAACATTTCCTACACACGGAACCCTAACTATGTGACCTTTGTGTCTGGCTTTGTTAGCTCAGCACAGGTTCGTGCATGCCATCCCATGCAGGATGTGTCTGTGTGGCAAGCCTGTTTTTAGAATTTTTTTATTTTGAGACAGGGTCTTACTCTTGTCACCCAGGCTGGAGTGCAGTGGCTCAATCTCAGCTCACTGCGACCTCTGCCTCTGAGGTCAGGTGATCCCCCCATGCCAGCCTCCCAAGTAGCTGGAAATACAGGCATGCACCACCATGCCCAGCTAATTTTTTTGTATTTTTAATAGAGATGGAGTTTCACCATGTTGGCTAGGATTGTCTTGATCTCTTGACCTTGTGATCTGCCTGCCTCGACTTCCCAAAGTGTTGGGATTACAAGTGTGAGCCGCTGTACCGGGCCTTAATTTTTTTTTTATTTTTGAGACAGGGTCTTGCTCTGTCACCCAGGCTGGCATGCAGTGGCATGATCATAGCCCATTGCAGCTTCAAACTCCCAGGCTCAAGCAATCCTCCTCCCTCAGCCTCCAGAGTAGCTTGGACTATAGGGGCTGGCCGCCAGGCCTGGCTAATTTTTTGATTTTTTTGAAGAGACAGGGTCTCGCCACGTTCCCCATGCTGGTCTCGAACTCCTGGGCTCAAATGAGCCTCCAACCTCAGCCTCCCAAAGAGCTGGGATTACAGGTGTGAGCCACAGTGCCTGACCCAGTCTTAGGGTGGAAAGATGCTTCCTTGTCTGGGCGGACCGTTTCATTCGTCCATCCCAGTGCTGATGGGCGCTGGGTGGGTTCCACCTGTTGGTCACTGTGAGTAGTGCGCCATGAGTGACAAGTTTTTTTTTGTTTTTTTGTTGTGACATAGAGTTTTGCTCTTGTTGCCCAGGCTGGAGTGCAATGGAGTTACCTTGGCTCACCGCAACCTCCGCCTCCTGGGTTCAAGCAATTCTCCTGCCTCATCCTCACGAGTATCTGGGATTACAGTCATGCACCACCACGCCTGGCTAATTTTGTATTTTTAGTAGAGACGAGGTTTCTCCATGTTGGTCAGGCTGGTCTCGAACGCCCAATCTCAGGTGGTCCATCCACCTCGGCCTCTCAAAGTGCTGGGATTACAGGCATGAGCCACCATGCCCGGCGTGACAAGTTTTATAAACAGTGGATGTGCTTTTTTCACGCCTGGCCTTTCTTGCATCTGTCTTGTGTGTGACCCTGTGGCCCTGACCCACCTGGCCCCTCCTTTCTTGCACACTAGGAGTGGTTCAACGTCTATGAACGCAACCGGCACACTAGCTGCACCGTACCCGACCTCATCGTGGGCAACGAATACTATTTCCGAGTTTACACTGAGAACGTCTGTGGGCTCAGTGACGCACCTGGGGTCTCCAAGAACACGGCTCGCATCCTCAAGACAGGTACAGCCAGCCCGCTCCACGGCCCAGACCCACCCCCGCCGCCCTCCTGCCCTCCCCTCCCCACTGGGGTTGACGGCACCTGGTCATGGGGGAGAGGGGAGTGTGGTGTGTTCCCTGGTTGGGGTCAGGGGACCATCTGGATGGGTCGCCTGATGGGTGCATCTTCTCTCCCCAGGAATCACCTTCAAACCCTTTGAGTATAAGGAGCATGACTTCCGGATGCCTCCCAAGTTCCTGACGCCTCTCATAGACCGGGTGATCGTGGCTGGGTACTCGGCGGCTCTCAACTGTGCTGTCAGAGGCCACCCAAAGGTGCTAGGGCAGGGACCCAGATCTGCATGTGTGTTTCCTTGTGGGGAATCTTCCATACAGTGAAGCCCCCACTCTCCATCACGACCTTCTTCTTCCCCAAGTTCTCTGTCTCAAGGGATTTAGACACTTAAAAAAAACTTTTTTTTTTTTTTCTGAGACAGAGTCTCGCTCTGTTGCCCAGGCTGCAATGCAATGGCGCGATCTTGGCTCACTGCAACATCTGCCTCCTGGGTTCAAGCAATTCTCCTGCCTCTGCCTCCCAAGTAGCTCGGACTACAGGCATGAGCCACCACGCCCGGCTAATTTTTTGTGTATTTAGTAGAGACCGGGTTTCACCGTGTTAGCCAGGATGGTCTTGATCTCCTGACCTCGTAATCTGCCAGCCTTGGCCTCCCAAAGAGCTGGGATTACAGGCGTGAGCCACTGCGCCCAGCGTAAAAAAAAACATTTTTAATTGATTCTTTTTTTTGAGACAGGGTCTTGCTCTGTCACCCAGGCTGGAGTGCAGTGGTGTGATCACAGGTTGCTGCAACTTTGACCTCCTGGGCTCAAGCGATCCTCCCACCTCATCCTCCCAAGTAGCTGGGACCAAAGGCATGCACCACCATGCCCAGCTAATTTTATTATTTATAGAGATGGGGGCTTGCTGTGTTGTCCAGGCTGGTCTTGGACTCCTAGGTTCAAGTGATTCTCCCGCTTCGGCCTCCCAAAGTGCTGGGATCACAGGTGTGAGCCACTGTGCCCACACTGGACTTGGGCACTTTTCATCCACTTCCTGTTAAGTCCTCTGACCAGAGCCCAAGTCTCAGACAATCAATCACACCTTGCTTTTGGCTTCCTGCCTTTTTCCTTCTTCTTTTTTTTCTTTTTTCTGAGACAGAGTCTCACTCCGTTGCCCAGGCTGGAGCACACCGGCACCAGCTTGGCTCACTGCAACCTCCATCTCCTGGGTTCACTCGATTCTCCTGCCTCTGCCTCCTAGGTAGCTAGGATTACAGGCATGCGCCACCATGCCTGGGTAATTTTTGTATTTTTGGTAGATACAGGGTTTCACTGACCTCGCGTAATCCACCTGCCTCAGCCTCCCAAAGTGCTGGAATTACAGGGGTGAGGCACTGCTCCTGGCCTCCTGCCTTTTTCTTTGCTCCCCTGCCCCCTTTCCCAACTGCCAGGTAACAGCTTGTCTTGGCAGCTTGAGGAGAGGACCATTAGTCTCTCTTGCTCTGTCCAAGGATAAATTCCAGTCCCGTGGAAAAAGAAAACTTGGGGGCAGGGGCAGCCTAAACCGCCACGCCTCCCCAGGGTCTTCCTATACAGCTGTTTCCCAACTGCTGTTTGGGAATATGGATACTTGCAACCTTGAGCTCATTTAGACCAGGGTTTGGCGAACCACTACCCATGGGTCAAATCCACCCATCACTGGTTTCTCTCAATAAAGTTTTATTGGAACATGGGCCATGCACATTTGTTTATGTTTTGTTTATAGTGCTGCAGACAAAACATAAATAAATGTACATGGCTTGTGTTCCGGGTCCAGAGACGACAGGGCCCAAAAAGCCCAAAATATTTACCATCTGGCCCTTTATAGGAACAGTTTGCCAGCTTCTGGTCTGGGCTGTAGATTCTTTGCTTCAGCCTCCTTAAGGCATACCATGGATTTGTTAGTTCACTATCTCCATCTCTGTATACTTCATTCATGAAGTCCATTCATTCATGTCATTCATTCTGCTCATTTATCCACCTACCAATCCATCCCTTTCCTCCATTCATTCATTCACTCCATTTGCTGATACAGCACTCATTCATTTATGCACTCCATTTATTCTTTCAACAAACATTTTCAGAGGCTTTCAATGACCTGAGAGATTTGAACAAGAAACTTCCTGTATGTTGGGGGAGACTGACATTCACCCAGAGTCACACATATAATAAAATTATAAATGGTTGGGTCAGGCATGGTGGCTCATGCCTGTAATCCCAGCACTTTGGGAGGCCGAAGCAGGCATATCACCTGAGGTCAGGAGTTCGAGACCAGCCTGGCCAACATGATGAAACCTTGTTTCTACTAAAAATACAAAAATTAGCCAGGCATGATGGCGTGTGCTTGTAATCCCAGCTACTCAGGAGGCTGAGGCAGGAGAATCGCTTGAACCCAGGAGATGGAGGTTGCAGTGAGCCGAGATCATGCCACTGCACTCCAGCGTGGGCGACAAAGTGAGACTCCATCCCCCACCCCCCAAAAAGAGCAGGGGCTGGTGGGGCACAGTGGCTCACTCCTGGAATCCCAGCACTTTGGGAAGAGGTTGGCTTGAGGCCAGGAGTTTGAAACCAGCCTGGGCAATATGGCAAAACCCATCTCTATGTTAAAAAAAAAAAAAAAAAAAAAGTAATTGGCTGGGTGTGGCGGCTCATGCCTGTAATCCCAGCACTTTGGGAGGCCAAGGTGGGTGGATCACAAGGTCAGGAGTTCAAGACCAGCCTGGCCAATGTGGTGAAACCCCGTCTCTACTAAAAATGCAAAAATTACCTGGACATGATGGCGCAAGCCTGTAATCCCAGCTACTCAGGAGGCTGAGGCAGGAGAATTGCTTGAACCAGGACCCGGGAGGTGGAGGTTGCAGTGAGCCGAGATTGCACCACTGCACTCCAGCTTGGGCTACAGAGCAAGACTCCACCTAAAAAAAAAATATATGAAGGGAGGCAGAATATAAACACAAGTATTCTTGTTCCAGTCTAGGGGCCATGAGGGGACATGTGAACTGAGACCTAAAGGATTGGTTAAAAAAAAAAAAAAGGAGGGAAGGAAGAGCAGTATGGAAGAGGGAACGGCCAGCGTCAGGCCCTGAGATCTGCGCCTGCGTAGTCTGTTTGAAGGACAGAGGCCGCCTTTTTGGCTGGAGCAGAGGAGTAACGGGGGTCAAAGACTGTGGGGCCCTGGGGCCACTACAAGCAGTGAGCTCTTTGTCCTGACAGCAATGGGAAGACCCCACCATTACCCTGTGAAGTAGGGATTATCAACCTGCTTTTACAGAAGAGGAGACTGAGGGTCAGGGAGAAGTCACTAGTCCAAGGACTCCGGCAAGAGGGTGGCAGAGCCCAGGGCCCAGACCTGCTTCCCGGGCCCCACTGTGGCATTGCCCAGGGGCCCTCTCTAAGTTGGCCTCCTCTCCCTTGACTCTCAACAGCCGAAAGTGGTCTGGATGAAGAATAAGATGGAAATCCGCGAAGATCCCAAGTTCCTGATGACCAACTACCAGGGGGTCCTGACGCTGAACATCCGCCGACCCTCGCCCTTCGACGCTGGGACTTACAGCTGCCGGGCCGTCAACGAGCTGGGCGAGGCGCTGGCTGAGTGCAAGCTGGAGGTCCGAGGTGAGGGCATCGCCGTCCCCCAACACTGGCTGCCCCTTGTTCGGGCCCTGTGCCAGCCTGGCCCGAGGCCCCAGGCTAAGCACTGCTGAGCTCTGGAGACGAGTGAGACCCGCCCTCTAGGGGAGGATTGGGAAGCTGCTGTCCTGAAGGCAGTGCAGGGCATCATAGAAGTTGGGACGAGGAAGCCCCTGACCCAGCTTGGGCAGGAGGAGTCAGATTTTTCCAAGGAGTTGAAGGACAAAGGAGAGGGAGGCTGGGCCGGGCGCGGTGGCTCACGACTGTAATCCTGGCACTTTGGGAGGCCGAGGTGGGTGGATCACAAAGTCAGGAGTTCAAGACTAGCCTGGCCAAGATGGTGAAACCCCGTTTCTACTAAAAGTACAAAAAAATTAGCTGGGCGTGGTAGCACGCACCTGTAATCCCAGCTACCCAGGAGACTGAGGTAGAGAATTGCTTGAACCTGGGAGGTGGAGGTTGCAGTGAGCCAAGATCGCACCACTGCACTCCAGCCTGGGCGACAAAGCGAGACTCCGTCTCAAAAATAAATAAATAAATAAATAAAATAAAAATTAGAAAAGGAGAGGGAGGCTGAGTGAGAATGTCCCCAAGGCCTCCCGTTCGCCTGGGCCCCCGCAGGCAGATGGGTTGACAGAGTTACAGCAAACATGGATAACGCGGATGACCAGGGGCCGTGGGAGCCCCCAGACGCGCCTCCCCTCCATAGCCCATCCCCAGGCTCTGACCCACTAGCCCCTGCCTCTCCCACCCCGTGCCCTGGTGTCCGTCTGACACTCCGGCCCCAGCTCAAGCCGCATTCTCTCCCCCCTGGATTCCATTTCTAGCCGCCTCCCTGTCTCCAGTCTCTCCCTCCTGCCGGCCACCCTGACCCTAGACTGGCCCCAGGGGTCTCTGTCTATCCAGACCTGCTGTGCCCCAGCCCTACCCCCACCCACTGGGGACTCCCCACTGCCCCAGCACCCCTCTGCCTGGTGCTCTTGGTGCTGTATCTGCCCCGGCGCCCACCCGCCCCAGGTCTTCCCACATGACGTCCCAGCCACACTGGCCTGTTGGCAGTTACACTGGCCAGGCTTTCCCGTCACAGGGACTTTGCACATGCTCTTCCCTCTTCCTGGAACATGCTTCCCCCCTCCTTCACCCTGCACTCCGGCCTGTCAGACACCTGCCAGTCCAGTCTCAGCGAGGAGGCCACTAGCTGTCCCTCAGAGCAGGATGACATCAATGTGGACTTCTAGAGTCCCTCCCGGATGCTGACTTCTGACCACTCAGACTTCCTTGGCTCTGAGGATGGCCCAGCAGACAGAATGCCTAGGGACCCTTAACAAAGGCTCAGAGAGGACAGCGTCTAGCCAAGCACGGTGGCTCATACACCGTGGGATTACAGGCTCATACCTGTAATCCCAGCACATTGGAGGCCAAGGCAGGCTGGTTGCTTGAGCCCAGGAGTTGGAGACCAGCCTGGGCAACATGGCGAGACCTTGTCTCTACTGAAAATACAAAAAAAACTAGCTGGGCGTGGTGGCGTGTGCCTGTCAACCCAGCTACCTGGTGGGGAGGAGGCTGAGGCAGGAGGATCACTTGAACCGGGCAGGTTGAGGCTGCAGTGAGCTGAGATCTTGCCACTGCACTCCGACCTGGTGCAACAGAGTGAGACTCTGTCTCAAAAACGAAACAAAAACACCCAGATCACTGCCTTTCCAAGCCAGCCCAGTGTCTGATATTCTGCTGTCTCCCTGATCAATGGTTGAATAGGCTCAGAAAAATCCCAGCCTTGAGATTCCAGCATGCAGCCAGCAGCTCAGAACGTCCCTATCTGGGGTCCGGAATAGCAGTAATCAGGGGCACTGTGACGATGGGTGGTCCGGCCACAGTGGCCGGGGATGGGGCGGGACGGTGACCGTCATCCTGGACGTCACATGGACGCAGCAGCTGAAGGGGCCTGGGGTGGGCCTGGGGCTTCAGATGGAGGTGCGCCCGGCCCTGCCTCACCTGCTTTCTGCTTTTCCCGCAGTGCCGCAGTGAGACCTGTACCTATCCCCTACCTGCCAAGACAGTCTGTGGCGGAGTCCTGACCCCAATCCCCAGCCTTCCGGGACTGTGTTCCTTGTGGAGTTTTCGCTAAGAACAAAACAGTGTTGCTGACCCAGGAGTGTCTGTCCTTCTTCACTCTGTAGCCGCGTCTCCCTCCTGCAGGGGGTTGGTCACCCCGGGTTTGGCGATGGGAGCAGCCGAGGTGACACAAGCCACGGTGAGGTGGCCTCTTGGAAGAGCTACTTTAGTGAGGCAGCCACGTCGTCACAGCAACCACAGAGCGTGAAAGGTGAACCCAAGCTGGGCGTGGTGGCTCGAGCGTGTAATCCCAGCACTTTGGGAGGCCGAGGCGGGCAGATCACGAGGTCAGGAGTTTGCGACCGACCTGGCCAATATGGTGAAACCCTGTCTCTACTAAAAAATAAAAAAATGAGTCTGGCACGGTGGCAGGCGCCTGTAGTCCCAGCTACTCAGGAGGCTGAGGCAGGAGAACTGCTGGAACCCGGGAGGCAGAGGTTGCAGTGAGCCAAGGTGGTGTCACTGCACCCCAGCCTGGGGACAGGGCAAGACTCTGTCTCAAAAAAAAAAAGGTGAACCCAAGCCCACGTGCAGGCCGGCCCCAGAGACACTGCTGGGAGGGAGGGAGGGCACAGGCTGGGTGGCAGTGACGGTGGCAGAGAGTCAAAGACGCACCCAGGCCACACCCAGAAGGCCTCTCTATGGAGGCAGCTGTGGTGGCGTGGTGGCCTCTAGGCCTCAGCAGTGGCCCAAAGAGCCAGAGGTGGCGAACCAATGAGGGAGGCGGCCGAGCTGGACACACTCCTGTGAGGCCGCCGTGCTGACCTGGTGACGATGGTGGGATCTCTCGTGGCCCGCTTGTTGGTTCTCAAGGAGCGGATCTTTATTAACTTGAATATCTCATCTGCCCGGTCCTGAGGCCATGTCCTTCGATCTCTGGCCCTTCGGTGACCTTGAAGGATGTTGGGAGACTCAGAGGCCCCAGAGTTCAGAGGTCTGGGGCTCAAGTCTGGCTTCTGGGGCTTGGAGCTGGGGGGAGAGAGTTCATTTCAGAGGCTTTGGCCTGCAGTTAGGGAGTGGGGGGTGGGGAGGGACCCTGCACTGACTGGAGTGGCAGAGGGAGCCAGACGTCTCAAGAGGGACACAGATTCCAGCACCCCCAGCTTCTAAAACTGGCATCACCCCCTACCCTACCTTGACCTCCAAGGCCCTACAGAGAACTGGACATTGGGCCTGGCTGACCCCACTCCTTCAGGACTCAGGGTGTCCCTCTCCAGGCCCCACTGTGGTATTTCACAGGCAGAGGTGTGGGTGGCTGTGTGTGTTCCCAAGTAGGACACGACAGCCCCTCGATTAGGGGCGCCAAGGCCCTGTAGAGCCTGCTGGCTTCTACCCACAGACCCCGTAACCCTGGGTCACCTCCACCTCCAGACCCAGCAGTCCAGGCCCCAGCCCCTCCTCCCTCAGACCCAGAAGTCCAGACCCCCAGCCCTTCCTCCCTCAGACCCGGGAGTCCGGACCCCAGTCCCTCCTCCCTCAGACCCGGGAGTCCTCAGACACCTCCTGTCTGCGGCCCCACCACGCTTCTCCTCTCCCCTCACCTCCTCCCACTCCAGCTGGGCCTCCTCTTCATCCTCATTGCCCTCCCCATCTTCATCCTGCAGCTCCTGGTACTCCTGTGTGAAGGGCACGGCAGGAGCTGACTGGAAGCGCAGGCGGTAGAGCAGCCGCACCCACTGGCCGAACTCTCGGTCTCGGGTCTCGGGTGGGGCTTGCAGCTGTAAGTAGAAGGCTCGGTGGTTGCTCAGCTTGACCTTGAGCTGCCGGCGGCTTTCATTGTGGACGAAGAGCTGGACAAACTGCAAAGGGAAGAGCCTGGGTGGGAGGAAGGGGCCGCCTCAGGTTCTGACCCCGTCGGGTCCTCTGGCACCGTCGGGGTCAGGGGTCCCCACCTCGCCACCCCTCCCTCTGGCCCAGGAATCCTTTTCCACTTCCATCGCCTCTTGAATTTGAGTCCATTTCCATCTTTCTTCCAGCCACACGTCTCCTTTTTGTCTCCCACTAGTCCTCTCCCCTAAACTCCAGACTCCAATATGCAACTGCCTCCTTGAAATTGCCACCTGGGGCCGGGCGCGGTGGCTCAGGCCTGTACTCCCGGCACTTTAGGAGACCGAGGAAGGCAGATCACCTGAGGTCAGGAGTTCGAGACCAGCCTGGCCAACACGGCGGACTCTCTCTACTAAATATGCAAAAAAATTAGCCAGGCATGATAGCGGGCGCCTATAATCCCAGCTACTCGGGAGGCTGAGGCAGGAAAATTGCTTGAATCTGGGAGGTGGAGGTTGCAGTGAGCCGAGATTGCACCACTGCACTCCAGCCTGGGCGACAGAGCGAGACTCTCCTCCTGGCTCAACCTCCTGGGCTCAAGCAATCCTCTTGCCTCAGCCTCCAGAGCAGCTGGGACTATAGGTGTCCCACTGCACCTGGCTGATTTTTCCATTTTTATATAGTAGAGATGGGGTTTCACCATGTTGGCCAGGCTGGTCTCCAACTCTTGGGCTCAAGTGATCCTCTCGTCTCGGCCTCTCAAAGTGCTGGAATTAGAGGCATGAGTCACCTCACTTTGCCTGCCACCTTTAAAATGCATCCAGGATCCAAAAACTTTTCACTCCCTCCTCTGCCACCTCTGGGTCCAGCCACCTGCCTCAGCCCTCAGCCCCTCCAGTCAGTTCCCCATGAGTCCACCAGAGGGCGCAGGCCAACAACTTGGGCAGCTCAGGTCCCTCTGTTCGGGTCCCTCTGCTCAGAGCCCTCCAGTGGCTCAGCGGGACAGGCGTGAAAACAAAGTCCTCACCGTGGTCCACAGGCTTGCAGAGCCCCTGGTTCCTTCTCTGCCCTCACCTCCTGCACCTCCAGCCACACTGGCCTCCCTGCTGTTCCACGAACACCCCAGGGTAAGTCCAACCCCAAGACCTTTGCACAGACGGTTCCCTCCACCTGAAAAGCTTTTCCTCCGGCCACGACTCACCCCCTTCATCTCCCTCTGTCTTTCTCAGGAGGCATGTTCTCAGGGAGTTCTCCCCTGGCCTATTTCTTTATTTTATTCTTTGACATAAGAGTCTTGCTCTGTCGCTCAGGCTGGAATACAGTAGTTTAATCTCAGCTCACTGCAAACTCCGCCTCCCGGGTTCAATTGATTCTCCTGTCTCAGCCTCCTGAATAGCTGGGATTACAGGCACCCCCCACCATGCCTGGCTAATTTTTGTATTTTTACTGGAGATGGGGTTTCACCATGTTGGCCAGGCTGGTCTGGAACTTCTGACCTCAAGTGATCCGCCTACCTTGGCCTCCCAAAGTGCTGGGATTGCAGGCACGAGCCACCGCACCAGGTCACCCCTGGCCTATTTCAACCGCATCCACCCTGTGAGACTCACCCATAGTCCTTCCCTGTCTGATGTAGCCCCACAGGCCTTGCCCATCTGACAAATGGCCACCTGTTCCTTCTGCCTGCCTGGTAGAGTGGGAGCTCCTGGAGGGCAGGGATTTGGCTTGTTTTGTCCAGTGGTGTTTCCCTGGTGCCCACAGCTAACACGTGCCAGGTGCTGTGGGTGCTTGTTGAGTATCTGGGTAAATCGATTGCTCAGGCCCCCAGCCTGTTTCAAGGTCCAACAGGGCAGAGCAGGAAAGAGTGGGGATCTTGGCCCAGGTCACACACAGCTGGGATTGGAGTCCAGGTCCAGTGTTCTCAGCCACAACACTGGGTAGCCAGGTGGCCTCTCTGGTCCAGCAGTATCACTGCCAGGAATGGATCACACAGACACCCTCACACCTGTGCAGACACATACGCATGGATGTCCCCTGCCACACTGCCTGTAACCGACATGCCGGACAAAACCTCAGCGTCCCTCAGTGGGGGGCTTGACCATTGTCCCCCAAATAGAAGAATAACAGCTGACATTATAGGGCGCTAACTCTGACCCAGGTACTATTATATTTACTCAGTTTCTCCCCCTCCCCCCGACAAACCTAGAGGATGTGCTCTCCTCTTATGCTCATCAACCACATGAGAAAACTGAGGCACAGGCAGGTAGGGGAAGCTTGGCCAAAGCCAGTGATGAACTGAAGCCAGGATTTGAACCCAAGTCGTCTAAGGGCAGACATTAGTTTAAGGATGTTGCCTATCACCTTAACACCGGGAGGCTGGACACAACTTGGTGTCTAAGACAGGGGAGCTTGTGCAATCATCCATGGGAGTCCAATCGCGCGGGCTGGGCGCAGTGTGTCACACCTGTAATTCCAGCACTTTGGGAGGCTGAAGTGGGCAGATCATGAGGTCAGGAGTTCAAGACCAGCCTGGCCAGCATGGTGAAACCCTGTCTCTACTAAAAATAGAAAATTGGGGTGGGGAGGTGGAGGGCACCTGTAATCCCAGTTACTCGGGAGGCTGAGGCAGGAGAATCGCTTGAACCTGGGAGGTGGAAGTTGCAGTGAACCAAGATCGTGCCACTGCACACTAGTTTGGGGGACAGAGTGAGACTGTCTCAAAAGAAAAAAAAAGTGAAAGCCACTGGCAGACTGTTTCTGTGGATACATTATAAGCACGTAAGCATTTCATTGTTTACAGCTGGAGTGGGGCAGGAGCCTCTGGTGAGAGAAAGGAACAGCTGGTGCTGTCTGCTTTGTGCTTGTTTTCTCCTATGTTTGCATTACTGTTTTTCTTTTCTTTTCTCCTGTCTCTCCCTTCTCTCTTTTCTTTTTTGAAACAAAATCTCACCCACTCTGTCACCCAGGCTGGAGCGCAGTAGCGCGAACAAAGAAATCTTAACTGGCTGTGATTAATTAGTTGTCACACCACTGCACTGGGACCCGCAGTGAGGTGTTTTTTTTTTTTTTTTTTTTTTTTTTTTTTTTAAGACAGTCTCTCACCCAGGCTGGAGTGCAACCTCCACCTCCCAAGTTCAAGCGATTCTCCTGCCTCAGCCTCCCAAATAGCTGGGATTACAGGCACCCGCCACTACGCCAGGCTAATCTTTGTATTTCTGGTAGAGACAGAGTTTCACCATGTTGACCAGGCTGGTCTCGAACGCCTGGCCTCAAGTGATCTGCCCGCCTTGGCCTCCCAAAGTCCTGGGATTACAGGCGTGAGCAGTGTGGAGTGAGGCACAGGTGGGTTCAAGAACCGCGAGCTCATGATAAACTTGGCGTTCCAATCTCTGCCCACTCTGGAGCCACAGTGGGACCCTGGGCAACTGGCTCCCAGCTCTCTGAGCCTCAGTTTAGCTCTTTGGAGGATGGGGCTAAGAGACCATGTGAGGATATGAGGTCAGAGGTGAGATCACATGCACGGCCCAGGGGCATCTGGCATGAGCAGGCGCTGCGGACATGGTCATTCTCCTGAGCCCCGCTGGGGCGTGGCTGAGGACTGTCCTCTTCAGGTCTGTCTAGTCCCTGATTTCTGGCCCCTGGAGGATTCCTCTGTCCTTGTTCTCCCAGGTAGATGGCAGCTCAGGGAGGGCTGGTAGCACCCCTGGGTCCTGGCCCTGGGGGTGGTCTGGATGAGGGGAGGTGCTGCTGGGGACTCAGGTGCCTGGAGCTGAGGGAGGAGGGGGTCTCGGCTGAGGTGGGGGCAGTCACCCGAAGAGTTGCAGGTGTCCATTCTCCTTGGCAGGGCCGGCCAGCAGCAAGAGGTCTGGGAGCTCCAGGGCTGGACTGGAGGCTGCCAACCCCATGGTGACCTTGTTGGCAACTTCTCCCAACCGAGTCACCTGGGGTCAGAGGTCAGAGGTTAGGGGCAGGATGGATGTGGAGGTGGAACTGGGGAGGGATCAGAGGTTAGGAATCCTGATAGGGGAAAAGGTCATGAACCAGGTGAGTTGAAAATCAGGCTGGGGGCCAGATGTCTTAGAATTAAAGGTCAAGAATCATAGGGGTGGGAAGTCAGGGAAACTGAGGCAAGGGAGTTAAAGGCTAGGGTTCACAGAGAATCTAAAGAGCTAGAGGTATGGGGCACCAGAAGTCACATGGAATTGGAAGTCGGGAATCCCACGAGATGGACGTTATGTGGGGACAGGGGCTTTCCAAGTGAGGAGGAGGTCGCGGGGCAGGCCAAAGCTCGGGCTGAGGGGGTTCTGGGGCTCCCCACCTGCACAAAGTTACTCTCAAAGATGGGGAAGTCCCGCAACTGGTCAAACTCGCCGCTCAGGAGGTGGCGCTGGAGCTGTCTGGGGTGGCCTGTGGGAGAGGCTGGAACCAGGAGGCATTCCAGGGGGTTGATGTCTGGGGGTCGATACTGGGAGGCTGTGCCTGGCTTCCCAGCTGGGGAGGGTCCAGCACAGCCCCGCACAGAGGACGGGGTATCAGATGCCCCCCCCAATTTTTATGATACTTTCATTTCTAGGGTACATGTGCGGAACGTGCAGGTTTGTTACATAGTTACATACGTGCCATGGTAGTCTGCTGCATCCATCACCCCATCATCTACATTAACTATTTCTCCTAATGCTATCCCTCCCCTAGCCCCCCAACCCCGCAACAGTCCCCATTGTGTGATGTTCCCCTCCCTGTGCCATGTGTTCTCATTGTTCGGCTCCCACTTATGAGTGAGAACATGCGGTGTTTGGTTTTTTGTTCTTGTGTCAGTTTGCTGAGAATGATGGTTTCCAGCTTCATCCATGTCCCGGCAAAGGAAATGAACTCATCCTTTTTTATGGCTGCATAGTATTCCATGGTGTATATATGCCACATTTTCTTTATGTAGTCTATCATTGATGGACATTTGGGTTGATTCCAAGTCTTTGCTATTGTGAACAGTGACACAATAAACATGTGTCTTTATAACAGAATGATTTATAATCCTTTGATATATACCCAGTAACGGGATTGCTGGGTCAAATGGTATTTCTATTTCTAGGTCCTTGAGGAATCGCCACACTGTCTTCCACAATGGTTGAACTAATTTACACTCCCCAAATTGCCAGCCCCATCCCTTACTTGGTTCCCTCACCAGGTCCAACCCCTCCAGGTCTGGCTCCCGCTCTCACCTGCCATCCCACCTAGTTCCGCCTCGCCAGCTCCACCAAGGGCGGGCTTAGGCCCTCGCTCCCTCCTCATCGCAATGTCCCCGCACCTTGACGGGAGCGGAGGGAGGAGCCGAGGGAGAAAGCGAGGGGGTGGGGCTACAGGTACTGTGACGCCACTAAGCGGAGTGGGTTTGATGACGTCACATAGAAGTGGACTCCTGGGGTTGTGATGACGTCACTGGAGGGGCGGCTCCTGGACCTCAGGATAAAGAGGCGGTCTCATCCTGGTGTCGTCGAGCCCCAGGTGCGGACGGGCGCTAGTGCGCAGGCGCCGGAGCCTAGCGCAAGCGCACGGGCGTCAGGATGAGACCTGTTTCTCCCGGCGTGCTCCGCGGCTCTTGGCTCGCATCCGTCCCTTGGCGGGTGGGAAGGAGCTGAAATGGCGGCGGCCAGTGCTGGGGCGACCCGGCTACTCCTGCTCTTGCTGATGGCGGTAGCAGCGCCCAGTCGTGCCCGGGGTAGCGGCTGCCGGGCCGGGGCCGGTGCGCGGGTGGTGAGTGCTCGTTATTTCTGTATAGCCGGCGCGGCCTACGGACGTCTCGGGTCTTGGGGTCTTTAGGTGGGTTACAGAGGGAAGGAGGCTGCGCAGGGCCAGTAAGGAAGAGGTGGGAGAGCCCTGGAAACAGGTTCAGTCACGCACACCCAGGAGGGTCCTCGGCAGTGCACCAGGTTGCAGCAACTGTGACGGAAAACTAGAGCACCTGTCGCAAGGCTCTAGCTCTGGAATATGTATGAGGGGGCGGGGCGGGTGTGGTGGAATCTTGGCCAGTCAGAAGTCGGGGCGGTTAAAATGAAACAGGCCGGCCGGGCGCGGTGGCTCAAGCCTGTAATCCCAGCACTTTGGGAGGCTGAGGCGGGTGGATCACGAGGTCAAGAGATCGAGACCATCCTGGTCAACATGGTGAAACCCCGTCTCTACTAAAAATACAAACAATTAGCTGGGCATGGTGGCACATGCCTGTAATCCCAGCTACTCGGGAGGCTGAGGCAGGAGAATTGCCTGAACCGGGGAGGCGGAGGTTGCGATGAGCCGAGATCGCGCCATTGCACTCCAGCCTGGGTGAAAAAAGCAAAAAACCCCGTCTCAAAAAAAAAAAAAAAAAAAAAAGAAACAGGCCTGGGGAACTCAGGGGCTGTGGCTCATCTGTTATCCCAGCGCTTAGGGAGGCCAAGGCGGGAGGATCGCTCGAGGTCAGGAGTTCGAGACCAGCCTGCTCAACATGGTGAAACACCGTATCTGCTAAAAATACAAAAGTTAGCTGGGTGTGGTGGCAGGTGTCTGTAATCCCGGCTACTCGGGAGGCTGAGGCAGGAGATTGGCGTGAACCCTAAAGGCAGAGGTTGCAGTGAGCTGCGATCACCACCTGGGTGGCAGAGCGAGACGCTGTCTCAGAAAAAGAAAATAAGGCATGGGAAGGGCGCTCTTGAGGAATTGGAGAGGAGTTTTGCCTCCTGAATATGCGTGAATATGCAAGTTTAGAGATTGGAGAAAAGGAAAGCATGAATCTTGAATGTGCTTAGTAGGGACTGAACTCAGGCTGGATCTTGGCTATTGGGGCTGTCAGGTGATAATGAGGTCTTAGCATGAAAAGGAAGCCTTGGGAGAGGGTGTCCTTTAACTCACGAGTATTTGTGGTGCAGTGCTTGGAAGTGACCTTGGGATAGTTGCTTTGGCAATGAGGTTAGGCATGTTTATAGGTCGGGTTTTCTAGGGGTCAGGGGGTCAAGATTATGAATATTCATGAAGTGGGTGTTTCCTAGTGAAATAGAGGCAAGCCGCAATGATAAGGCTCCACCCTCAGCCCACCAGTCAATCTGTGCTTGGCTCTGTGGGTGACTGCCATGCTGAGGGCTTGGGTGGTTCTCACTTGGGGCCTTCTGTGTCTTCTGCAGGCTGGGGTGGAAGGCCGAGAGGGCGAGGCCTGCGGTACGGTGGGGCTGCTGCTGGAGCACTCATTTGAGATTGGTGAGTCAGGCAACGTCCTCTCCTAGACGTTTAACGTTGGTGCCCTGAGAAGTCAAGAGTTGGCGTCCGGGCGCCTCCCATCTCTTACATTCACTCAGGTCCATTTACTAACAGCTTTGCCCCAGGCTGGGGAGAAGGGGGACATGTAAGAAGAGAAACACTGGGCCGGGCGCGGTGGCTCAAGCCTGTAATCCCAGCACTTTGGGAGGCCGAGGCGGGTGGATCACGAGGTCAAGAGATTGAGACCATCCTGGTCAACATGGTGAAACCCCGTCTCTACTAAAAATACAAAAAATTAGCTGGGCATGGTGGTGCGTGCCTGTAATCCCAGCTACTCAGGAGGCTGAGGCAGGAGAATTGCCTGAACCCAGGAGGCGGAGGTTGCGGTGAGCCGAGATCGCGCCATTGCACTCCAGCCTGGGTAACAAGGGCGAAACTCCGTCTCAAAAAAAAAAAAAAAAAA